ACCCCGCCTCCTGCTCTCCTCTATCTTGTCTGCTGTCATGATTCATGCAGCTATTATTTCATCCAAATGAAAAATGTCTATTCTATTAACATTTCTCTATCTGGAGAATGGGGCTGTTCAGAGGGGCCCCCTTCCTGTCTTTGCTGGGCCCCATATTTCCTAAATCCGCCCCTGATTTCAATGATCCGGACGTCTGACCCTCGCGTTCATGTTAGGAATTCCTTCTTCCTCTAACATGGAGCAGCGAGGATTTGATGATGTGAGACAAAAGGTCAAAGCAGAGTGATGACTGTGCTGAACTCAAAGCTGCTTCAGTTAAAATATGTTTATTTAAATTAAATAAATGACGGTCGGGGATCAGAGAGACGTTTTCCCCGAATGCTGAAGCCTCGGTTTGACCATGACGATGTTAGAGGTGGAAAAAGGGGGCAGAGAGGATAATGGGAGGAGGGGGAGAAAGGGGGGACGGGGTTGCTATGGAAACTGCTCTCTGAAGCACACAGCTGATCCCCATGGAAACCGCCGTATTGAATTCACCACGGAGAGACACACTTAGAGTGAGCATGTAGCTGCTGCATTAACATTCTGCACTTTGCTTCCAAAATGTGCTTTTTAAGAACGGCAGCGTTTGGTTTCAGGTGTGGAGCTGTCAGAGGTGGAGGGAAGCCTCTCCTCTCAGGTGGAGGAGCTGCAGCGCCTCCTGCAGGACCAGCAGAAGGAGCTGCAGCAGATTGCAGATCACACTCACACATATCTGGAGCAGAACCTGCAGCTGAGGCACCTGCAGAGCCAGGTCAAACAGGTAACATACTTCACTGCCGCACGCGCACCATCGCACAATCGCACGCCGCTCACGTTTCCACGGTTGCCCTCCCTGTGTCTGCTGCTTCCTCTCAGGTGCTGGGCTGGATCTCAGAGGGGGAGATGAAGCTATCATCCTGCATGCTGAATTCCAGCTGTCTGTCTGAAGCAGAGCAGCTGCAGAGGGAGCATGAGCGCCTCCAACAGACCATTGAGGTTACTGCAGTGCATTGATCAGAAATTACAATAAATATTTAATGGGAGCTTTAAATCTTATGTAAAAAAGCAACAGGAAGACTTTATTCTGCAGCAGAAAAATTAAAAAACATGGGTAATAAAATGCAGTTTAAGAGTTCCTGCAATGACAAGACAGAACTAAGGGATTCATCCTCCTGCTGGGGGTGCGGTCTTATCTTTCAGGCTCTGCTGCATGCCGAATCCCTGCAGAGAACTCACCAGGTGGCGCTAGCTCTGCAGCAGCGAGCCGAGCTACTGGTCAGGTACGATCGGGCTGAATCGTTCCCAAACGTTCTTTCTAAATCCCAGACTTTTCCTCGTCCTAAATGCAGCGTCTCTGCACAGGTCGGGCCACTACGACCCAGACGCAGTGAGGGCTTGTGCCCAGACGGTGGCGCTGCACTGGCAGACTCTGATGCTGAGGATAGAAGACAGACTCAAACTGGTCAACGCCTCCGCCGCCTTCTACCGGACGTCACAGCAGGTGGACCGACCGCCCGTCGCTAAGCTAACTGAAATAACGATGCTGCACTGCAAAAAATAGAAATCTAAATAAGTCCTTTTTTCTTAAAATAAGTGAATTTTGTCTTGATTTGAGGAGTTTGGTGAGATAATCTACATTTAGAATAAGACAAATCTGTTGGATTGTCTTATTTCAAGTACATTTTATCTAAATATCTTATTTTAAAAGTTAAAATACTCATTCCATTGGCAAACTACCTCATTTATTTACTCAAATTAAG